GGGGACTGATTTACCAGGCTGCTGTGAGACAAACAAGCGAGCAATGTTTTGCTCTGCTCTGTACAGTACTGCTAAGTGCTGTTCTGAGTAACACCTCTATGGTGGGATTGATGGGAACTTGAGCTTGCCTTTCCACATCACTGATTTTTTTTTTTTTGGGGGGGGGGGGGTTTGGGTTTTTTGTTTGGTTGGTTTTTTTGAAAGCGAAAGGAGGAAGATGTCTACAGTGGTGCTGAAGACAGCTGATTTTTATCTTTTTCATTCACAGTTAATTTTTGTAAGAGATTTGGATTATGGTTCTCCGAGTATAAAAATAGTCTTAAAAATAATGAGAAATTGTGTAATAGCAACTTACCGATTCAATCTTTTATTCTTCTAGAACAGCATGCCAGTCCACTAGCATAGCAGAAAACGTTATCTTTGAAATAAGTTTTGGAATAGTTAATTCTATGTTTTCTTTTTTCTTCTCTGTAATCTAAAAATCTGTCCAGATTTTAGGTGCTTGGCATCCAAGTATTTGGAAAATTTTTTTAACCTAGTTTCTATTTCAAGTCTTCCTTTCAGTCTCATGTTATGAATCTAGCATGTATGCATCCTTCAAGACCTGGAGAAACTGCTTTTTCATTGTTTGGCAGCCACAGTCCTGCTCCCTTTCTGATTGCAGAGAAGAATTAGGCAGTAGTTGCAAGAAGTCACGTTCCAGGGATTGCACCTAGAAGTACTTGGCACTGCTGGAAAGTCATGCTGGCACAATGCAAACCTTGGCAAGACGCGAGAGTGTTTTGCCCCAGTTTTTGTGCAGTTACATCACAGTCTCTTTTGTGAGCTCTTGGGGATGTGACGATTTTCTCCAACTCAGGATGCCTGCTGAGGGTTTATCTCGCCTAAGATGAAAGAAAACTTTGTGCCCTGTATGCATTGATTAAAACTGGCGAGAGTAGCGGGAGCACTGCATCTCTGAAGCCTTCTGTGTATGGAGCAGCAGCCAAGCCTTTCTCCGTGCTTGTTTGCATTGTTTAAAACAACGTATTTGCTTTGGCTCTTGACTCAGTACGGTTAACAAATAGATGTTTTGCCCCTGAAGGAGAGGTTTGTTTTTCTTATTGCCTGGTTAATCCATTCTGAAGGTTACTCTAGAATACAATTTACTATTATCTAAAACAAGTCTATTTATACAACGGTACTTTAAAACACTTCTATCTTTTACTTTCCTGTTCAGCCGTTAAAAACTATTTTAGTTTGCTGTTGCAAAAGACACAGAATTCCAAAAATTGTCTGACTCAATTTTGTTTTCATGCATGAAAAGGGAAATGCCAAGGAAAATTAAATGGTTTGGTAATCCTCTAAAACCGAAGGGATTATATTTTCCTCCTGTTTTCTCCTTTGTAGAGACTTGATGTTAAAAATATCATCATTCTTTAACTTTAGCAAGAAGAACTACATGTTAATTTAGCGTTCAGCAGAGTAAGGTTTCTTGCTTATAAGGAAAGATTTATTCTAGTTTATGGCTTCTGTAGTTCTTAGTATTTAGATTTGCAATTAAATAGGCATATCCAAATGCAATGCACATTAAAGCAGGAGTACAGTGAGCTTATAGAGGATGTCTGTAGAGCTTTTCCTTCACAGTTATTTAGAGCAAAATCTTGCTTCCTTTTTTTTTTGCCAGCTGTGTAGAGTTTTGGAGATTTAGGTAATTATATCCCTTCTTAAATTATGACTATGGCAAAACTAACTTTCCACGCTTTTGTGGGTGAAATTGGAAAGCAACTGAAATGTTTTTAAAGTCACTTAGTGGGTTGTGTAATATTTCTGTTGTACTTAGTCCAGTAGCCAAGTTTTTAAATCCCAAGTTCACAGCCTTAAAAAGTGTGTAGTCACATTATTATGCTGCTCAGACACCTTTTTTGAAATTTGCTTTGGATGTTGCTGCAGCCAAGCTGATAACCCTGAAGTTTTTTGCTGCTGTTTTTGTTTTGTGTAAAAACTTCAGGATGAGTGTGTATAGGTGTACTCTGTTTTGGATGTATAGCTCACTTAAGTAATCACCAAGATGTCTTTATTGCCTGTTTTTATGGACTATATTTGGTCAAGGAGCATAGTACACTCTGGTTAGTTTTTTTGTGGTGTTAAGTGACCAGAGAAAACGATTGTTTTGTGCTCTGAAATTTCCTTTATAAGACTGCATTTCTCTTTGATAAGAGTGTATTTGTATGTTTGCACTAGATGTCTATTTACGATGGTAAATGCCTGAGAAATTCAAGTGTAATAAATACTTTTCATTGGTATTTTGCTTTAGCAACTTTTTTTTGCATGTAGTTTGAGGTGAAAGAAAAGAGTAATGGTGTTTGCTGTTTTCCTGCATACTGGTATCAAACTGATAGATTTGGACCTGATCTTTCTGCACTCTTTCTGTTTACTGTACATGGCGTGGCATAGGGTGGCACCAGTGTAGCTGTTTACCTTCATCTGCCACATCATCGTTAGGAGAAGGCACTAGTCTGCCCTGAGGGCTGAGCGCCTGTGTTTGTACAGCTGCCATGTTACCTGCGGAGTTATAAGTGATTTGACCAAGGTAGAGGAGGAAGTTGGTGCCAGAACCACAATGGGAATGTAAGGATTTCTGACTCATGCTGTGCTTGAAACCTTCCTCCAGCTCCAAAGGACCTGGAATCACCTCTTGTGCTTTTCTCTAAGTAGTTAGATAAAATTACAAACCTATTGCGTAAACGTAGCAAGGAAAGGCACTATCTCGACTTCTTCCCTTTGTAAATCAAGACTTGACCCAGTAACTGATAATCACTTACGATTTTTAATTAGTTGTAGGATCGGCTATAGCTTGTATCTCATTTGGTGGTTGTTAAACGTCTTATTGCACAGTGTAACATTTCAGGAAGCACCTTGGGGACATGGTCTCGTTTCCAAACATGACAAAATTACCTTTGAAAACAGCATCCGAATGCCCAACTAAAGCCCTCTTGAGCATTTTACCCAACAGTCTGTATTGCTGTGCTTTCTGTGCATACAGAGTATTCCATGTTGTCAGATTACACACTGAAGATGGAACAGATCCGTCACTAGCAAGCTGCTATTCCCTGTATTTTTCTGCTGTAATGTGAAGATAAATGTGGTTGACGCCATTGACTGATGTTAACTTTGCATGTGTACTAATTCAAGGGAGTCTATGCCTGTTTGTTTTGCACATTTCAGAAGTATGGCTACACGCACCTTTCTGCTGGTGACCTCCTTCGAGATGAACGAAAAAGGCCAGGCTCACAGTATGGAGAACTCATTGAGAACTACATTAAGGAGGGGGAAATTGTACCAGTTGAAATAACAATCAGCTTGCTGAAGAGGGTAAGGAAAGGGCTATTTCCTTACTGGTTCACTCTTGCAGACTAAGCAAGAAAGCAGCGGCCGTATTCTGGAGGAATTGCCTTTCCTTCGGTGTGAGTAGTACGAAACGGCAGACACGTAGGTGCGCATTGCGTACTGGGCTTCTCTTAGCAATTACTCATGTTTCTTTCTGGATGGTTGGAGGGCAGTAGGTGATGGCCTCTGATATCTGGGGATATGTGAGAATGGGTTATTTTTATTTCATTTTTTTAGTAGCTCAAGGGAAATTAGGGAATCTCTGTATTTCTTATTTCCCTTAACTAGCTTTTGTACCTCTAAATCAGCTCAGTCATGTTTGACTGGAGGGTAAAGGCCTTAAAGGTACTAAGTTTCTGTAAGTTTTATCAAAATAGATAGCCAGGTGAAGGAGAAGGGCACCTGCTAATGTTCCTGTGGGAAGGAAAAGCTCCAGCCTTTATCCTTATTAGATGTCCAGGAAAACAACTAGAGTATCTCCTTTAAGACAGAAAAGGCTTCTGTTGCTCATGGCACTAAATTTATCTGGAGTTTTTCCATTAGAATTAACTCTAGATCAGGCACGTTTTGGCATCTTATTGTGTAACAGTGCTTTCTAGTATCTTGTAGAAAATCAGCTTTAAAGCTGGGATTGTGTCTTATGAGATTTTGAGCTTTATAAAATAGTGAATTCAGTTTGAAAAAAGGCTATATGGGTGCATCAGTGAATTAATTAGCATGTGTTGAAGGTGAAACAAAATACATTTTGTAAATCTGCAATAATCCTAACATAAATGCGTCTTAACTTACCACATCAACGTTTTGGGGCTAATTTAATAAGTAGATAAATGGTTGTATGTGCAGGAGATCATGAATTGAATTCTCTTTTATCAGGCTATGGATCAAACAATGGCTGCCAATTCCCAGAAGAACAAGTTCTTGATTGATGGATTTCCCAGGAATGAAGATAATCTTCAAGGCTGGAATAAGACTATGGATGGAAAGGCGGATGTTTCTTTTGTTCTCTTTTTTGATTGTGACAATGAGGTAATGAAGTGTGTTATTCTGTAACTTCCTTTCTTGCTATATTGTGAGAATCATTCAAGAACAAAAAAACTCTCTCAGGTAGTGAATGGACTAGTGTAAGAGCAGAAGGAAAACTTGGTCTGTGAATTTCAAGGATTTTTGGCAACTTGCTTTTGCAGGTGAAAAACTGCATGTTTTTGAAATAGCAGGCAGCTAATTGCACTTGGTATAATCGTGCGAATAAATTATATTGAAGAAGTACTTCAGGCAATTGCATTCTTAAGGAAAATTTATAAAAACTTTAAATACATTATACAAAATTATTTGGTTAATTTTCAGAAAACATTACTCTGTTTACTTTTAGTAACTGTTGTTTAGTCCAAAATGAACTTGGTAGCAATGTCTGCTTTAATTCTAAAGTGCTGGCAGCAGCAGTCTTTATTGTCATAGTTATGAGCTGTGCTATAGGATAGCCAGTAATCAACATTTTATTCAGCAAGTCATTAGATTACAAGGGCATTTTGACAGTGATACATTATATTCATTTAACAAGTGCCACGATATGCTGTCTTTTTAATATGTCAGTGCCCTTGAGGCATTAAAAACTGATACGGGAATCCCAGCACCTTAAGCTGACTTTCTTCCTTTTACCCTTTTCCCAAATTTCCTGGAAAATTTTGTTACCTTTTTTTTTACTTAATTGCAATTATTTTTTTTTAATCTCAAAGAACAAGTGAGGGGTCATTTTTTTTCTATTTAAAAACTTAAATAAGATTAAATGACTTTTTTCACTTGGGGTGTTAATTGTGTTCATTTTGGGGTTCTGATTTTTTTTACTAGATCTAAGAATAGACAACATGATCTTCTGGATTTATTTTTTTTTTTACTATGGGTGTACTGTGTAGGAAAAGTAATTTTTAATCATTGTCCTCTTGCATGAGTAGGATAAATGTATTCATGAAGTGTAGATGTGTCAGCGTCGCTTACTTAACTTTATGTTTCAAAACTTACTTCATGGGGCAGCTTTTAACTATGGCTAGTTCTTCAGTTTTTACTTAGATTTTGATTTTTAGGTCTTCGTTATAGCGATGTCAAGTAAGAATATTTTAGCCTACAATAACTTGGTACGTAGCCTTACAAAATTCTTTGAAGAACATACAGTGACTTTCTTTCAGTGCAGGCATATATTGGTAGTCTAATTTGACATGCTGCTTTTCAGAAAGTCTGAACACATCCTTGAAAATCAGGTAATTTTCTTCTTTAAATGTCTCAAGTTGAATACCAAGTCAAACCACTGAGCTTGATGTTGCTTTTACTTCCACTGAGCCCAATCCCATCTTAAGAGCCCCCCATTTTAATAAATTGATGAAGTGTAAAGCTATCATCCTTTTTCTCTGGAAGAATCTAACTTTCCACACGAATTCTGGTTACATCCTCCAGATCTAGACAGTATTTTGTGTGTCAGGGCTATTTAGATTTTCAGGATTTTTGTTTTGTTCCTGCTTTCAATATAGCACCTTGTGTTCTTGGTTGTGATCATCTCTTTGATGTTTCTTGTAGATATGTATTGGCCGCTGTCTTGAAAGAGGCAAGAGCAGTGGAAGGAGTGATGATAATCGGGAGAGTCTGGAAAAGAGGTACTATCTTCAAAACTTTTCAGTTCCCTTCTGTTTATGTTTTACTATGTAATGCTTTTTTTCCCCTGTGCTTTCTCCTAGAATTCATACGTATCTGCAGTCTACTAGGCCTATAATAGATTTGTATGAGAGAATGGGAAAAGTCAGAAAAGTGGATGCCTCTAAATCTGTTGATGAAGTAAGTATATAAGCAAAAAAACCATGGGGATGACAGTGACAGGATATATATTATTTTCAGCATTCTTCTGAGATGTGTGTGTGTGTGGTTAGTGTGCTAATTAAGCACTGATGTGTATTACTGAGGGAGGTTGTGGAACTCTCGTTTTGACTCTTGAAGAACTGATTAAGATGTTAATAACTTTAAGAAATCAATTAGTTCTACTTGAACATGAGCTAGACTGAGCACATTTTCAGTGTTTCTGTGTTTAGCAGTGTCTTGTCTTTTTCACTTTCATGAGCTTTTGCTTTTCTGAAGTAGTATTGCTCTTCTGTCTCAGTTTCCCAGAATTTATGCCAATTTCACTATTAAAGAATTACTGTGAATGTTCTAAGAAAAACTTATATGTTTTTTAAAATATTGTCAATTATTGTGTGTGCTGGTTTAACTTGAAGTAACTGTTTGACTAACACTTCATAAAATTAATATTCTTCTCTCTCTCGTAGGTTTTTGAAAAAGTTGTACAAATTTTCGACAAAGAAGGCTAATTCCCAGCTTGAAAGTTCATTTAAACTTGTGCTTGAATCTTGCTTGAATAGCTGCTACTGCAGTCCACTCTTTGTAATTGTTTTAAAAGATTTTTTTTTTAATTGTTTTTCACATATCTAATGATGATTGGAAAAGCAGTTAATTACAAATGGATCTGTTTTTTAAATAGGAAATCATTTCTTGTGGCGATAGTATACAAATTTCAGGTTTATCCATTAGTATAAGTTCAGTTACTGACATGGCAAAACCACAGTTAAAACATCTCTTTGAAGAGACTATTTATTCTTTCACAGTTCTGTGCCTATCATGGGCAGCCCTTCTTATTTCTTATTGCCATACATAGTTTTTTTTTTTTTTTTTTTTTTTTTTTTTTTTTTTTTTTTTTTTTTTTTTTAAGGATCAGCTAAACAGCAGCATTAAGCAATGAGGGACCCATGTGCCCTTGTTTGTTTTTCGGATGCTTGGACCAAATTTAGCAGATATTTTTTCAGAGTATAATTTTGTCATGACGTTCCCTGTTAGCCCCAAACCTGAATTCTGTAAGTCAAAGCTACCATTAGTATGAGAATCTGTTTTAGCAGTTCTCACAAAACTATTTAATGTGCTGTTCAGAAATCGACATACAAAGTACTTTATGGAAAGTGGTGCTTTCTTATGACTCTGGATGTAAACTGTCTTGTAAGTTCTTGAGTACCTGGATGACATGACCCTGGGCTTTACCTTGTCTTCATTTGCAAAAGGTTAAGAATATAATTTCAAAGTCAGGTCAGTATTTCCATACTCATTTATTTTAAATGATAGTTATGTTCTTAATTACAGCATGATCTTCACAAGATGGCAAAACTCTTAAACAATGTACAATAAGCAAAATCTTCTAACCATTCTGTCTTCTGTAACAAGTGGAAGGGATTTTCTGTATTATTATTATTATTATTATTGAAATACTGTGTTACTGAATTCTTTAAGGTTTGTTACCCAGGGAAATACTTTTATGGTTAAACTAGTGAATTTGTTTCCCTAAAATTGTATAATTTTAATAACTGTTTGTTTGAAAAGATTGTAAATTATGCACTTTTATTATGATGTGGTCAGCTGAGGGGAAGATACCTGCAGAAAAAAGTTCCATTCCCTTAAACAAATTGGGTCCTGCTTCATCACGTCCTCTTGAATTAGCCAAGTACAGTCAGCAGCAATAGTTGGGATAAGCAGATAACTAGTTGAAACAAACTGGTTTAAATGTTTGCACAGATGTGGTGTAATTCTGCCTTTTGTTTAAAGTAACCTTTTCTCTCCCCTATATAGTATGCATAGGTCTGTGGGGGCCCAACTGTGCATTCCTTGCATGCCCTAAGCTTTCACTGAAGAAGGCTCCAGAAGGCTTGAAGATGAGTGTTTTAACTAATTTTAGTGATAGAGTGGTTCTTCCTACATTAACTGATGCTGTAATTGGTTTGTGATATGCTAATAGATGTTGCAAATTACAGGGAATTGCAATTTGGAAATCTTGGGGTTCAGCTTTTCTTTATTGATGACTATCTCTATTTAGGAAAAGCTTTAAGTTAAACCTAGCTTCTAATTAGAATCAGACGTGTTGGTCCTCATCCTGCAATCTGATCTGTGCAGGCAGATTTTTATTTGCATGAATTCTCATCTTGCTGAGATTCTTGAGGCTGCTGGACTGGGGAAGAGATGGGTACAGAAACAATGGGTAAGCTACAGTATCTTTTCCAGTATGGTAGGAGTTCAAAGAATGGACTGAGCACAAATAGCTGTTTACTACTGCAGAATATATGGACCATGACTACTTTTGTGAGTATGGGAGGCTAATGCTTTTGCTTTATTAATTTCCCCTTAAAAAAAAAAAAATCATGGAATTTAATTCTTATTGTAGAAGTATGCTGACATAGGATAGGATCCAGCAAAATGCATGTTTTGATATGAAGGTTAGAATCAGGGTTTTTCCAAAAAGACTCCAAACAGGATTCTTTAATCCGGTTAGAGAGATTTAATTATCTTTTGTTTCTAAGTAGCTGGTTTTTACAAGTTCTGTTCAGAATAGAGTATCTGTTTTCTCATCATATACTTTTCTGTGTATTTAAGTGCCGAAACAAAGAAAAAAAAAAACCTTTGGAGTGAGTTTTTAGAAAAAACCCAATGTTTTGGCAATATTGAATTTGGAGTGGATTGTAATGTGTCTGTGCAAAGACTAGATTTTTTTGTCATTTTATTTATTGAAGATGCCATTAAATGTGTTACCAATTCTTTCAAGTTGGACTTATGATTGAAATAAAGATTAAAGGCAATATGCCAATGTGTTGTGTCTGTTCAGCAGCAAAGCTGTACAAAGAATTTGAGGAGATCCAATAAACTCTGTTCTGTGGCTTAATGTGAGTGCTTGGCTTACAGGTACCTGTTACAAGGGATATTTTTCATATATATATCTATATAAAGTGTGTATTTATTAGTGTTAGATACCTTGTGTGGCCACATACACACAGGTATATGTATAAAAGTTCAGTTTTCACCATCAAAACTGAAGTCCTGAAGACCCTGTTAGGCACAGGATAAAATCAGGCAAATACCTGTGGAATTGGTACGTTTTCTTGATTATATGGGTTTATCAAATTACTCTATTCATGTCGTTGTGCAGTGATCATTCATTTGGCACGTCTGTGAAAGAAAGGGGACTTGAAGTGGACTAGGAAACACAAACCTATCGTGCAGCTGCTGTTGGAGATGCTTTCTGTCTTGACTTCTCATGCTTCCTTGCTCAGTTACCACCTGATTTCCTGAATGCCGTTCTGCTGCTTTGCAGCACATGCCTACGTGCCCTACTGTGTTCTTAAAGGAGATTGGCACAGCATAATATTCTTTATAAAAGAGACTGAGAGGTTGCCGGGTTTATTTTAAAATAAGTCTTCACATTTTGCATAAAGGTTTGTCACAACATGGGTTGTTTATTCATGTGTAGGTTTCCAGTGAACAACATGTTGAAACCTTACTCTGGAAAGATTTGCAGAGCTGGCCTGAAAGGGATGAGAAAAGCAGGGGATTTTCCAGCAGTGGTAGGTATCTTTCTGCTGGTAAAACTACATAGACCAAACTGTTTTGATGAAACTTTACCCTGAGGTTGTAGCATCTGCCTGGGGTCTGACCAGCAGGGGCAAGGCTCTGTTACGTTGCCCCAAAGCAAGCTTCCCACTCCCACAAGTGGGAGACTTGAACAGAAAATCCCTGTCCAAAAGGTGCCAATTTGATGGAGTGGGGGCAGGCGGAGAAGACCATAAGCATGCAGTTGAGGATTGCCTCAGTGCAAGATATTCCCCGCTAGCAACATTTGTCCTCAATAAGAAGAGATGGTTCATGAGGCAGTTCCAAGGTCTTGTGCAAAATGCTGTGTCTTACAACAGTGGGGACATCTGTGTGCCGCTGCCCAGGCTGAACCGGGGAGAATGGGAGAGTTAAATGAAAAAAAGACTCGGTTCAGACTGGAGCTGCCAACTGTTGTTACCGGTTGGCAGTTTCTAGCTGCCAGCATTTAGGAAAAGTTGCAGTTTAGGGGATTATTTTTCTGCTTAGTTTGGAGTTCAAGATCAGTTTGGTCCCTGTTGTGATACAGATGTCTCTGAAAGCTATGATCTGTGACTACTCGGCTGGCCTTCTGCTCGGGGCAGGGGGGGTAAGACTTGGTCCCTTGGCACAATCAAGCCATTCCTTCAAGGCATGGTGCAGCAGGACTTGGAGACGGGGCACCTGGGGCTGTGCGCTTGCTACAGTCCAAAGATCCCAGGGTTAACAGCTAATAATGAAAACTGCAAGATGATGCAAAGAGGATTCAGCTAATCAGGTAATAAAGGAGACAGTAACAAAAATATTAAAGCTCATGGTTTTTACAGCAGCAGTTCTCACACTCTTTTGATCTGTAGGCATTTATAAATCTTCCAGTGGAGATAGGGGGGCATAGATGAATTTAATCTTGCTGCTTTCTGCTATTTTTCATGGATTGCTTAGTTTAAGATGGTGGTTTTCAGCCTGTGGTCTGTAGAGTATTTCTGTTGGTAACAATAGGCATCATTACTGAGTCTTCTAATCTGCTCAGCTGATGTATTCTCTATCCTCTTTGCTTTCTGCCTTCTCATGTCTTTTCCTTACCTTTCTGAATTGCAGATGCTCTTTGGGACGCAAAAGGGGGTGCTCTTACCAATCTCTATGTGCCTTGCAAAAGAAACAAAATCTTCAAATACCTTCAGCTGGAGCAATCAGAACCTGTTTCTGCCAATGAACTTGGTGCATAATCTGTTACAAAACTGACATAAAGCACATTGTGCTTGTTTTTTCAACTACAGAAAATCTCAGTGTAGTACCTCTGCTCTTTTCTCCTGTATGAGTGAGATCAGATGTGTCTGTCTTGCTTCAGCACAGTGCTTAGCAGCAGTTGTGTGAAAAAAACTCCTCGGTCACTAGATGTTAAACTAGCAATGACCTGTTATGCTTCAATGGAAGCAAGTGAGATGATTGAGGAGGGGAGGAAAGAAGCTCAGTCAATTCTGCTTCACTAGTCAGACTTCAGGTTTAGATACAGATCAGTTCCGCATGGCAGCGATGCTTGTATTTAAGTCTAGCTATTTCATCGTTATGCTGTATAGAAATTCATGCAAAAGCACTCTCTGCCTCGAAGTCGCCTGTCTCCCCTCATCGACTGTGCCACCTTGAATTCCAGGGGTTGTGGAAACAATAATTTGTCTTCAGGGTAAAGCTGTAAAAGCTAAACTGGGCAGGATGAAGACAAATTGAGCTGTGCTTGTGAAGAGCAAGATGTACAGCTTATTTCACTGTGGGCAGCAATGCCAGGCTATTTTGTGATCCTGGTTTATAACTGCATTCAGACAGCAAAGCAGAAATTTTCTCTTCCCCCTCAAATGTTTGGCAGAAAGCTTGCTTTTGTCTAAAATGCTTCTTAAGCACTGTGCGAACCATGCAGTCCTAAACCAAATACCAGTTTGAGTTGTGCTTTTTCTTTCTAATTTACAAATAGGAGGGTTTGGTTTAGTTTCTTGTAATAGCTGCTGCAGTGGGACAACTCTTGGAAAATACAAGGCGCTATCCCAAAAGATATTATCTGCTTTATTCTGGAGGGCTTTTTAGCACAGTGCAGTTTCTTCGTGGTAAGAAATGGCAAAGATATTGCTGTGCAACTATCAACATGTAATGATATGTGGATGGTATGTGGAAATGGTATCTTGTACAACTTTTGTGCTCAGCATGCACTGCTATTTAGTGC